CAGTACAAAATCATAACGGCATAAAACCAACTGTGGTACACACTGTACTACGGTAATAATTTTGTAGCCATCTCCTATTGCAATTCAGGTGAGCTCAAGTGTTGTCTCTCTGTGTGAGCAGCTCCTCTCTCCAGTAAATTGCAAATCACAGTAAAAAGTGATCCCTCGCAGTTCTCACGTCTTTTTCATTGTGTTTAGTGCAATACCATAAACCTTGAATAGCACCATGGGTCCCATACAAAGTGCCACTAGTGACGCTGGAAGTGCTCCCAGAAAGCAAACGAAAGTCACGACATTACTAAGAAAAGTTGAATTGCTTGATATGTACCATAGCTTGAAGTCTGCAGTTGCAGCTGCTCACCCTTTCAAATACACAATTCATCTTGTAAACAGATGGCATAAACTTACGGTATTGATAAACACAGTATGGTACTGTAAATGCATTTTCCTTATGATTTTCTCAATAACATTTTCTTTTCTCTGGCTTATTTTATTGTAAGAATACAATAAATAATGCATAAAACATACAAAATATGTGTTAATCAGCTCTTTATGTTATCATAAGGCTTCTGGTCAACAGGAAGCTATTAGAGGTTAAGTTTTGGGGAAGAGAAAAGTTAGACACAGATTTTCAACTGCACAAGGGTCAGCATTTGTACCTCCCCGTTGTTCAAGGGTCACCTGTATTTGTGACTTTACAAAGCTCATGCTGCACTGGTAAGAGAGGGGAAGAGTGACACGTGCCATCTCCATTTTACAGAGAACATATGGAGGTACGAGCCACTCCAGTTGGCTGTTTTTCAGAAGGCATGCCAGAGCTATAGAATGAAAAGGAGTGATTTTTTAAACGCCGTATGCTTAATCCAAATAGTGGAAGTCAGACAAATAGGGATCTCATCCCAACCCTGCCATTCATCAGCTGTGTAACCACATGCAAATTCTCTAAACCTTCGTGTCCTCCCAGTGTGGGCTGTATTAAATGAGATGTACAGAAAGCATGGCACTTAGTAGGTATGCAGAAACCTCAAGCTGCTACCACTATCATGATGACAAGGATGATGATGCTTCCAGAGCACACAATAGGCCCCAGGGAGAGTGCAAAGGAAAAAGAAGACATAATTTGTGCCTTCATGAACTTCCGGTTTAGTTGAAGAATGCAAACCAGGCAGCCCTGCTAGAAAACCATTTCCATGACAAAACCCAGGATTCGGCCAGTCCCATTCGGCTTTCCCAGCTCTCTAGGGCCGACTTGTTTGGAAACAAGCAGAGTAAGTTTTCCACAGGTCCTTTCATTGTTCATCATGGTTTTTGTGTCAGGGTGGCACTTTGCGGAGAAAACCTGGCCCTTTAAGGAGACAGCCTGGACTATGGACCCCAAAGACCGAGTGGGTGGTCCCGTGGCACTAACAGTCCATTTGGCATGTGTACATTCTGGGGGGTTGCTTTCACAATAAAAAAAAAAATGTCCATTTTGTATTCCCATGTTGAATTCATGGAGTGTCTGCCTAAATCTCAGCCCCATTCCTTCACTCCTTTCGTCCAGATCTACTGATGGTCTCAAACTTCACACTGTTCCCTCCAGGTCATTCCTACTCTTCCTTACTCCAGGTCACCCATGTCTACCCTTTCCCTTTCCCCAGCTTCTTCCTCCCACTGCAGCTGCAGAATCCCTGTTTTCTAGGGAAGAAACTTCTGTAGATCCTCCACCTTTCTCATGGTATGCTTCTCTAGTGGGCTGAATAGCGCTCCCTGAAAATTCATGTGCACTCGGAACCTCAAGGGGCCTTATTTAGATGTCATCAGTTAAGATGGGTTCCTACTGGATAGGGCGGGTCCTAAATATAATGAATGATTAGTACCCCGGTAAGAAGAGGAAGGGACACTCAGGGACACACAGGGAAGAAGACCATGTGGCAAAGACTGGAGTGAGGCAGCTGCAAGCCAAGAAATGCCAACAATTGCTAGCAGCCATGAGAATCCAGGCGAGAGGCAAGAAAGGCTCCTCCCTTAGAGTTGTCACAGGGCGCACGGCCCTACTGCCACCTGGACTTCAGATTTATGGCCCCCAGAATTGTGAGAGAATAAACTTCAGTAATTTTAAGCCACTCAGTCACTCAGTTCACAGCAATTTGTTACAGCAGCCTAGGTAACTAGTGCAGCTTCCCCTTCCTCACTTAGCTGGAACCTCACATTTTTCCGTAACACAATTTCTTATTATTGCTTGGAGTGAAATGGCACCAACATAATTCACTGCAGCCTCAAACTCCTGGACTCAAGCAATCCTCCCACCTCAGCCTCTGAGTAGCTGGGACTATAGGCTTCCACCACCATACCTGGCTAATTTTTTGCTTTAGTAGAGATGGGGTCTCGCTATGTTGCCCAGGCTGATCTAAAACTCCTGGCCTTAAGTGTGCTCCCACCTCCGTTTTCTGACATGCTGGAATTACAGGGATGAGCCACTGTTCCTGGCCTTAAGTGTGCTCCCACCTCTGTTTTCTGACATGCTGGAATTACAGGGATAAGCCACTGTGCCTGGCCTTGAGATTTTCTCTTGAGAGTCCAGAGTCTCAATGAGTCTGGACTCCTGTCTTCACTGGGCCAAATGACCCTCGCTTCCCAAGACTTCCTCCAGGCCTCCTCTTAGCAGCCTCTTTCTTTTGAAACCCATGACATTGATGCACAGGGTCCTCTCCCAATTCTTTGGTCAGTTAGGGACCTAGCTCAGTCTTGCTCCTCAAGCAGGCCTCTGCAGATGCCGTCAGTGGATCAAGCCCCAGTTTCATTCACACCTCCTCATCCCCAGTGGCCTCTGTCTTTACTCTGCTGGATGAGATGCTGACCTCCCCTCTATAAGGCTGAGAACACCCAACTTCCCCCCATCCCCCAGCTCATCCTGACTGAGACTCCTCCGCCCTCTTCTCCATACTCCTCTCCCAAATATCAATTCTTCGGCTTCATCTGCATCCAGTCGTAGAATGGATTCCAGAGACAACTGTTTCATCACTCTGGAATCCTCATCCCTCTGAGCTTCCATCATAACCATATCACCAGTCCCCGGTCCTGAATAGACCCTTTGCCCATCTGCTCTCATCCACTCCCAGGTCGCTGAGCACCGGAGGAAAAGAAACCCAAATCCCTACTAACTTGGTCCACTGCAAACTGGTGCTAGCTACCTCAGCCGAACCTAAAGCCTGCATGCTTTCCTCATGCAGGCTGTCTGGTACTCTCCTCCATGTTCCTGAAGCTCCCAATACAATGTCTATCATCCCCCTCTCAGGAGAAGACATCAACACCTTAATATTCTTAAGGGTTAAGTCAGCTGTTATAAACTCTCCTTAACACTTTCTCTTTTCCTCAAAATGTATCTTCTTTCAAAGGAAAGGGT